ACAACAACAACAACAACAACAACAACAAGTACCGGTAACGAATCATTTCCCTTCATCGAGAGAGCAGCTTAGCTCAGTCGGCTAATCTGATGGTAGCCACTGTGTGTGCGCTGAACCGTAGAGATCTCTAGGTCCCTGGTTCAATTCCCATCGCTGCATGCCTCTCCTTGTGTTTCAGCTAAAGGACTGAAATACAAGTTACAATATAGCGCACCGTCTTTCGTATGAGACGTTTAAGCCGTTGGTCCCGTGTGCATCAATGGCCCATGTGCACGTTAAAGAACGCAGCACACTCTTTGGAAAAGAGTAGAGGATTATCTCCCGGTGTACTGCCCAATCACCACCAGAAGGACCCCACTGGAAATAAGTCTTCTTCTAGACTTTCATGGGCTATCCTTGGCGTTTACACAGAATAAATCCAATCCAATCCAAATCCAATGATTAGACCTACTCGGCTCACAAGACGGCAGCGTAACTTACGTAAAACAAGTAAATTTGTTGGACAAGGGAATTACAGGCCCAGGTCTGATTGGTCAGTTGTTAAGTTTGATTGGCACTCTGGATGACGAGCTCTAATAATGTTTTGAGAATTTTCAACATTATTATTATTATCTGTTTAAGCATTAGCATGTAAGCTAATAATATAATTATCCATATGCAAATACTAAAACAAGACAAATATTAACTTTGTTATTAAAGTTTATTAGGTTATTACATAGATAGGTCCTAGTATCTGTTACGGTGTGCTATGCTCATTGGTATGGCTGGGCTATTACATTATTGTTATCAAAGTTTTGTTATCTGTCGTAGACGCATCAAGCTTTCGGGCAAGACGATCAGTTCTGCGGCAGTGTAAAGAAGGACTTGTTGGTAGTAGAATATTTCGGTACATTTTCGTCTAAAAAGTTTGTTTCCCAACAGGTAAGCGGCTTACAACAATATTCTACCAAAGGGGATGATTTATTGATTATCAAAAAAGGGTATTTTTTTGTATAAAATTTAGCTACGAACATAAATACATGTTGATCTATAGCCCTATATATAATTATATTGTCTATGTTAAGCTAAAAAGTAAATTCTTGATTTTTTAAATTGATTTATAGACTCTCTAAATAAGTTATTTAAACATAAGCTCAGAACTAGAGATACTTTCATGTCTAGTTATCTATTTTCTTATTTAGTTAACAGACGCACGAATACTATCGTTTATAATCTTTGTATAAGTGCTAGATATTGGCTGGTAGAAATTTAATGAATTTTAGTAGTAAACATTTTAAAATAAAAAAAAATTACATATTTCTATACATGTCGCATGCTATCATTATATATATATACATGTACATACATAATTATATATATATATATATACACATCTAAGGTGTTTAATTACCTAAAAATTCAGAAAAGAACGACATTAAGTTCCATAATGGTATTTAAAGTCATAATGCTAGATTCGATAAATTATATATATATATATATATATATATATATATATATATAATATATGCCTATATTATGGAATTTTTATTAGAATTATCATTATATTTATAATAACAATACAATGCAATAACCAACCAAGTGGCATTTTTTTTACAAATGTTCGTGAAAAAATGTATTGTATAAAATAATTTAAAAAAAATAATTTTAGACCCGATAGTTTACTTGTGCTTAAATTCATTGAACTTCTTGTTTCATACGACACTTAGGTTCCATAACAATGTGCCACTGTATATACACCGCTTCTTAATATTTCATTAGACCCGATAGCTTACCGTATTTGTGCATAGCTTCATCGAACTTCTTGCTTTAATCATAATTATAGAAGTAAATGGCCTCGAATGAAAACTAATATAATGGCCTATGTCTAAATATTAATTAACAATTAATCAGCTTAAAAGATTAATAATTAATTGTTCTCGAGTACGGTAATAATCTATGTAAAATGTCAATTAGTCCTATTTGGAAAATTACAGTGTTCTTTCACTCAATGGTGGCAAAATGCCGTGTGGTAAAAAGGTCGGGAAAATTTGCCTATGGTGACAAAAATCGGTACGGTAAATGCCGGGTGACCATGGGCCTGGATGTCAAAACGCCTTGATAGCATACAAAGTAGGCAAAATGCAAAAGCAAAAATATTTTCTTTCCATAGCACCTGCCCTCCATTACTTAAACCATGCAATGACAGGAGCTTCAAGTTCCAAACTTGTATAGCCAATACTAACTTCTCACTTCAATTAGTGTTGGTGATTTTTCTTCATCATGGTATACGCTCCTACCTCAAACCGTTGGTCCTTTATATTGGAAAGAAAATTTCTTGATGTTGCGTCAAAAAAAGTGAGATTTAACGAAAAAAGCAACTTTTTATAATTGTTTTTAGCCGCTTGTCACCGTCAATGTTTACCTTAAAAAGTAACGTCAAGAGGCTGGAACAATATTTCCGTCTCTACAAAACCTATTAGCTAATTAACACGTTCGCTAATAATTAACAATATCACAATGCATTTTTATACATTATATTTACCTAAATATGACGATATATTTTTAGTCATACGACGATATATTTTTAGTCATACAAATCTCCGAAAAATTATAAAAAGAAAAAATATAAATACGTGTGAGTTCAAAAAAATATTGAACGAGGCCTTCCATATAAAATAGACTACGCCCTCAATCGGATCAAAATGTTTTAACGAGCGTACCGCGACGGTACCGAAGCGACGCGGAAGTAAAGGTTGTACATGGGGGTACTGTATATAAAAGTTTATAGGCCTACAGTACTTCGTCCCGTACCGATTACCGTAATTTATCGCACGACCTAGCATTTAGCCTACTACATTAGTCTCCCATTTTATTTACAAGCTAGATAAAAATCAGCGAAACCTATATGAAAAAACAATCTGTTTAGGCAAATTATTACTAATCGTTGCTTGCCTCATAACCAAAGTAAAAAGGCCTGTTTATACTTCAACGATAACGATAAAAATGCTAAAAAGCGATTGTTCACATAGAAAAAAAGAAAAAAAAAAAAATAAGAGAAGTTTTTACACTAGGACGACTCGATAACTATTTATTATGTATACGATAACAAAATATTTTAACAAATCAAATCAGATGACGTCAAAAATGTATTATTTGTAGATGAATTCTTTAATCATACGTTATCACGTGCTATAATCGCTAGTGCCTTCACTCGGCCCCAGAAGTCAACCCCACACTCACACACACATACGCATGTACCATCCCAAACAAACATAGATATAAAATGATTATATATGTATATATATATGTATTGAAGGACGTTAGCCGTTAACACTGTTGAATAAATATAATATAAATCATCAAAGGTACATATACAGTGTTTAATAAGGACATGATGATGTCATATATATATATATATATGTATATATGTATATACATTGGCGGGTCTGTGGGGGATCAGGGGGTTCTTAACCCCTTCCCCTTGAAAAAATAATTCTTTGTGTACTGGTACACACCAAGGCCTATTTACTGTAATAAGAACGAGAAAAAATTACCTGACCGTTTGCAAAAGGGCGAACCTTGAATTTTGATTAAAAGACAATTCAGAAGTCGGGAACACTCATTTCTCGCCATCTAAGAACCAAAATTGTCCCCGGGGAAGACCCCCGACCCCCGTTTTATTTGGGGTTCATCGATTTATTGAAAAAAGAATATGTATTCGACTCAATTTTTGTTATGTACTGTACATATACACATAGTAGGGCTACTAGTATTTACAGTAATAAGAATGAGAAATTTTATTGAGAAATATTATTTCGTTTCCTCGAAATAGTAATATTTTCTTTAATCATGTCCCTTTAGGGGCTCCGTAGCATTTTGCCCACCTGTGGCCTACATGTTTAATTATACTGTGCAAACCACATTAGTCTGTGTTTTTATTTATTATTTTAATGTAGGTTTCTGAAGCATCGTTATGGAGACCAACACTCGAATTAACATGATTGGCCAACAACCTATGACTGGACCAGTAACCTTCAGACTTCGCAAACCCGTCAGTAAGGGCACTGTGCAAGCCACGGCCATAATCCAAATCATTTTTGGCTCTTTTTGCATAATACTCGGAATTTGGGCAGCAGTCAGATTTATAGTTACCGCTTCTCTCTTTGAACTTAGTGTATGGGTAAGTAAATCTAACGGACATAGATCAGTAAACATATTTATTTTAGTTGTATATATCAATATCTACATACATAGTATATATCAATATTATAGTCAGCCCATCCCCTCTCTTATAGTCAGGCCATATATCTAACATCTAAGATATATCAATATATCTAACATCTGAGATATGCATATCTAAGTTATGCTACCAGTCAAGCTGTAATCTGGTACTGCCTGTACAGCACCTGCCTCTGTCTGGTCCTGCTCTCTTGTAGTAATACACAGCGCATACATCGTATGTGGTAGGGTCTCCCAAGCTGTGAAGTGAAGGTATGGGAGAGCTTGACCCGGCAGCTGCAGAGGGATTGCATCACCCTGCTACTAACATCAACTAATGATAGCAAACCGTTTGCTGCAGCCAACTCTGTGCCAAATGTATAGCTCCGCTCTCCTTTGGAATCTGCAGATTAGGTCGAGAGAGGATTCATGACGATTGGATCCTTAATACTACCCAGGCAAACACACCGGAGAAGACAACTCTGGCATCTGAGGATGACAAAAATTCGGAAAGTAATAGTCACGAGTTATAAGTCTAGATTATATTGGCGTGAAATTTGGACGGTACGGATTACTTCTGACGGTAGGAGGGGTTTATTAATCCCATTGATCAGTTACAGCCTGCCTTAAGCTGAGCAGCCCTTGGCCAATTATGTACTGATCCGTCACGGTCTACCTTCTCTGATTGGGTGATTAAAGATTAGAGCCAGCAAGCTTGACAAGTAGACCGCAATTGCTCACCTACGAATACAAAGAAATATGATTATATTAAACTTCGTCTAGCGTCATGGAATGTACGCACCATGACCCTCAGCACTTTGACACCAAATGCTAAATTGAGAAAATCGTCCATAATCGATCAAGAATTAGACCGACTAAATATAGACATAGCTGCACTCCAGGAAACCAGACTTCTTGGGTTTGGATCAGTTGCAGAAAAGAATTACACATTCTTCTGGAAAGGTAAAAATGATGGAGAGAAACAAGAACACTGTGTGGCCTTTGCTGTTCGTAAATCTATCTTACCATTTACAGAACCACCTACTGATGGCAATAAACATATGATCTCAATGAAGCTTCACACCAATCTTGGAGTCGTTAGCCTAATTAACATCTATGCTCCGACCATTCAAGCTTCTACAGAAGAAATTGATGTGTTTTATACACAATTGGATCAAGCTGTCACAAAGATCCCGAAAAGCAAACAATTATTTATCCTTGGAGACTTCAATGCCCGTGTTGGAAAAGATGTTCTGTCTTGGTCTCCTCACATAGGATGCTTTGGTGTTGGGAAATTAAACAGCAATGGTCGTAGGCTTCTTGAATTCACTGCACTTCACAACTTGTGCATTAACACCTTTTATGGAATATCTTTCAGGAGGAGAGTGTCATGGTGCCATCCAAGATCTAAGGACTGGCATCAACTTAATCATATCGTAACAAGAAGATCATTCCTTAGCAATGTCTCTCTTACTCGCAGCTTTCACAGTGCAGACTGCGACACCGACCATGCTCCGCTTTGTTCCATAGTAAAGCTGAAACCAAAGAAGGTCCATCGATCCAAACAACCAGGCAAAGCAAGAATCAATACCTCTAACACCATTAACAAGGATAAACAGCATAAATTTCAGTCTGAGTTCCAGAAGAATTTACTAAACTCAAGACACACTGACAACCTTAAATGGCAAAATATCAGCAAAGTCATACATAGTGCAGCAATTCAGACTTTTGGGATACAAATCCCCAAGACGAAAGACTGGTATGTAGATTCTGCCACTGTACTAAATCCGCTCCGGGACATTAAGTGACGAGCCTTTCTGCGTAAGAAACATTATCCCACCAGAGGCTCCCTAGCAGCTCAAAGGAAATCTAGGAATTCATTTCAGCACAAGGCACGAGAATGTGCCAATCAATATTGGCAACAATGCACACAGATTCAAACAGCATCAAATACTGGCAACATCAAAGCAATGTATGATGGAATAAATTGTGCACTTGGTCGTCAACACCGCAAATCATCTCCCTTGAAATCAAAGAATGATACAATATTGAATGAGAAAGATGACCAATTAGCACGATGGGCTGAATATTTTTATGAGCTGTACTCCAATAACGCGTTCATATCACCTGATGCCCTCCAGTCCATCCCCTCTCTTCACACAATGAATGATTTTGACAAAGATCCCTCAATTGAAGAACTCGAGGAAATCATTGATACACTCATGCCATGAAAAGCCCCTTGTGAAGACAATATTCCCCCAGAAGTCATTAAGTACTGTAAGGCATCGTTACTTCAACCATTGTATGAAATTCTTCTGTCATGCTGGCATAGTGGCAACATACCTCAAGACATGAGGAATTCCAAAATTATCAAGCTATATAAAAAGAAAGGTTCAAGAATGGACTGCAGTAATTATCGAGGCATTTCTCTTCTAAGTGTTGTGGGAAAGGTACTTGCACGGATGGTTTTTAACCGCTTGAAAGTCCTTGCTGATCGAGTATACAGTGACTCTCAATGTGGCTTTCGTGAAGGCCGGTCAACAATTGACGATGATTTTCGCACTAAAACAAGTTCAAGAAAAATGTAGAGAGCAGAATATGCCTCTTTATGTCGCTTTCATAGATCTCACAAAAACGTTTGATCTCATTAATCGCAAGGCCCTTTTTAGCATTCTTATCAAGATAGGCTGTCCACCAATTTTTCTCAAGTTGATAAAATCGTCCCACGAAAACACTCAAAGTAGAGTTTCTTTCAACAAAGGACTTTCAGAATTTGTTTGTATCCAAAGTGGCGTAAAGCAAGGATGCGTCCCTGCCCCTACCCTCTTTGGGATATATTTTGCTGTTGTGTTGAATCATACCTTCAATACTCTCCCTTCTGATTGTGGTATTGCTTTTCGAACCCGCACAGATGGAGGTCTCTTCAATCAAGCTCGACTTCGTGCAAAAACAAAGACTTGTCTTGTTCACATTCATGACCTACTGTACGCGGATGATGCTGCATTTGTAGTTCATTCTGGTGAAGATCTTCATGCTACCATGACAGTATTTGCTTCAACTTTGGAGTTTGGTTTAAAAATCAGTGCCGCAAAGACAAAAGTCATGCACAGTAACAACATCACTGACTCTACCACTATCAAGGTCAATGACACTGCATTAGAGGATGTGGACAAGTTTATCTACTTAGGATCTACTTCTACTGCAAACCTATCTCTGGATGTAGAAATCGAGACGCGCCTATCAAAGGCTGCAATTATGATGGCGAGACTGAAGGACAGAGTGTGGGAGAACAATAGACTGACAGTAAAAAAAGATTAAAGTTTATGTAGCTTAAGTACGCTCTTATATGCCACTGAGACGTGGACAACATACAAAAGACAGGAGAAACAGCTTAATGCCTTTCACATGCGCAATCTTCGACGTATTCTCCATATTAATTGGCAAAATAAAGTAAGCAATGCGAGTGTCTTGAAGACTGCAGGATATCATGATATTTTCACTATGCTCACTCAGAGTTCGGCCATATAATTAGGATGGACTGTGAACGTATCCCTAAGCAACTCCTCTACAGTGAACTTGCATGCGGAAAACGCAGTTTAGGCCGTCCCTTGCTGAGGTATAAAGATACATGTAAACGTGACATCACCTTATCTGGTATTGACGCCAAATCCATGGAGATACTGGCAAGTGATAGAACATCATGGTGCAATATTGTTCACTCGGCGACTGAGGCAAGAGTGAACCTGTTCTACCAACACCAAGCAGAACTTAGACAAGCCCATAAGGCAAGAGCTCTCTCTCAAGAAAATACTGCTATTTTTATTTGTCCCTCCTGTGCTCGTCAGTGCAATTCTAGGATTGGACTATACAGCCATATCCAGCGCTGGCAGAAGAGAAAATAACTAACTGAGACAATTAGTAAAAGTTTAAAACAAATAGTAATACAGTTATAAATAAGGAAATAAAAGAATTCTCTATTATCTGTGGGCTGACACCGGTAGAGATCATTCTCATCTTCTTATACAATTATATAATGTAAAATTAAAAGAACAAAGCAAAATCACACGTGGGTAAATTGCGGTCGGCGGGCCGCATGCTGCCCGAAAGCGATTGCTTTGCGGCCCGCGAATATGAAATAAAAACTCTATGTGTGCGGCTCGCCAAGCAATATTTGGCTAGAAAACGCATTGTTTTTTACGACCGATCATATGTAAATAGTAATATTAAAACTGGGAATAAAGTGGTGTAAAAGCAGTGCTTGGAGGCTCTTAGAAGCGCACTGGAAAGATCAAAGTTTGGGTGCGGCCCTCTGTGTTAAATCAGAAATTCACTTTGGCCCTCCGACCGATTTTTATGCCCACCCTGATTTAAAGGAACATAACGATGTAAATAACATAAAAAGTAATAACAATGAATATAATCTAACTATTCAATATTAGTCTATGCGTACCATATACGCTAGTTATTTAATAATTTCTGCCAATTGCGATATCTGTTGTATCTGTGATTTCTTTTGACCAAGGGCTTGTTAAGTGCTCCTAGAAAATATAATTTGGATCTTTAAAATTAACCTACCATGAAAAGTTCAAGCAAA